GCATTAAAAACCCACGACGTTTGTATCAACGGTTTATTGACGTTGTTTGTACGTGTGCATTTACACGCGGGTGGCTCTTATTAAAATGTATTAATTATTCGTTCACAGAGATGTCGCGAGGGCCAACAGGTGATTGGCGTTCGTAGCGACGTGCGGTTACGATCCGGCGGCCGTTAATTTGTTCCAAGCATTTCGACCCCGTCAACGATTACCGTACCAACCCAGTCCGCAGGTTGCTCATTAGCACTGCCGTGCACACCGTAAGCCGCTACTTATATATTTCGTTGCTCTGGATGAGATTATATTATTTTTTTATTATGCTCAGGTAATTGTCACCAATCCCGAAGCAGCACGACCCTCTCAGTCGGACGTAAAACAGTTCCATACTACCAATATTTTAATAATTGCGTTCGCGGGATCTGATGGTTTCATAATTGTTTCAAGTGTAATCCCTAACCGAATCTATGAGGGGGGTGGGGCTCAATGTTGATATGTTCACGGGGTTTGGTCGGTCTCCAATTTATTTACAACCATCAAATTCCGCACCCGCGTGTTGTCCAATCGCAATTGTTAAGGTGGGGAAATAAATACATTTAGGTTGAAATCGTTGGCATCGCTTTTGGTGACGAGGCGGCGGTTGGCGATATAAACGATGTGGTACGAAATAGTTTTTTTCAAATTTAAAACAACTTTTTATACTTATAATACGTTTGAAGGTTTCACCCGAAATAGTCGACGTCAGTCCGCTCGAAGTGAATAGTGTTCATTACGTCGTATAATAAAAATTAAAATAATATTATTTTTTTGTTGACGTGCAGGTCGAAGTGGTCGGGGCTCCTGTCGAACCGTCGCCCGAATTCGTCAACTTCGGGTTGGACGACGTCAGTAAAATTATTCAATCGCTTTTAAATACGACGGAAATAAAAACTTTTAATTCTTATTTATTTTCTCTCCCGTTGTGTGTAGCTTGCCGCAGCCGCCGCCGTCGGAGTTCCAAAAGAACGAGTTCTCGACGTCGCTCCGTCCGAAGTGAGTTTAGTCTTTTCGAATATTATAATAAATAGTATATATATATATATATTAAATATTGAATTCGACTTAAATATAACGGAATCTGTTGTACAGAGTGGCGCGCATTATACTATGAAACGGTGTACTTTATTTTTTGTTTTACGAAAATTGGCAACATTCGTTTAGCGACATTATCGTGCGTCGTCGTGATCATTATGTTGCCTATTCAGCGTGGAACGGCGTTTCTGTTACACTGCTCCGGTATATGTTTTCTACTTAGTTTGTATTTTTTTATTTGTTTTCCAACATTTATATTTTTTTAAATTCCATCCGGAACTATTATTATAAATTATTAAAATCGATTTTTCTCAGTGTTATTCGTTGCGATTTATTTATATATATATATTCATTTGTTTGACACTATTTTAGTCGAGTGACGGGGTCGCAGAGGGTGTACACCGCCACCGACACCGTCGTAGCCGACGACGACGACGAGACGGCCAATTTTCCTGTAGAGTTTCTCAACACTCTGGAAGCGGACAACTTGCCGCCGTATAGGTTGACTCTGAAGGTGGGCGCGATCGTCATGTTGCTGAAGAACCTGGACACGGCCAGACGACTGTGCAACGGCACCAGACTGGTAATTACTGAGCTCAGGCAACATAATTTTAAAGCTAAACTGTTGACAGATCTCGACGCCGAGGAGACAGTCGTTCCGATCGTTCAGACGAGGACGTCCGGGGACGGCGACATTTCGTGCCGCATGTGCCGTAACCAGTTTCCCGTGAGGCTCTGCTACGCCATGACCGTCAACAAGTCGCAGGGGCAGGCGTTCGATCGTGTCGGCCTGTCGCTGACGGTACAGCCGTTCGCCCACGGACAGCTGTACGTGGCGTTTTCGAGGGTGCGCAACCAGAATTCCATCAGGGTGTACACTTTGTCGGTCGTGGACGGACAGTGCGTTGTGAAAAACGTCGTGACCAGGGAAGTATTAGAATGATTTTGATGTAAATCATGTTTAATGGCGACATTGAACGCGATCCCGCGGTACAGCTGGTAATCGAGTGTTTTGAACGGATTAAGTGGTGTAATCCGGGCAAAATGCTCGATTTTGACGGGCGTGACTTGAACGTTTATGCGAATATTCTGTCTGTGTCCCCGTGTGTCCCTCGAAACGGCTGTTTTCCCGTGCTGTGTAATTGCCATTTGAACCCCAAATGGCATCTGTACGGGCGGGGAAATTTCCGTTTTGTGCGGAGAGATTGTATGACAACCTTCACGTGGTTCTCTCTGAATGCAAATCCGTTAAATGTTCGTGGCATAAAATATCACAATAATAGTAATATAAATTTTTTAAATATTTGCATTACAAGTCGATATGACAGTCACTTTTTGCCGTACGGATTCGTAACTAATGTCGTGCGTTATAATTAAAATTTATTTGCATATTATAGTTTATTTGTTTGATTAACATTCGATTTCTTTTCCAGAACTTAAACGAATTACACACAAATGACTCGGAGGACGTTGGTAACACAACGAACGTTTCGACAAAATAATATCAACTTATACGGGACCGACATGAAATTCCTGGAAATTATCATACACGGCAACTTATTTTCTACGCTTCATTAGAAATTATTATCGACCATTTGTGATACATATTTTTATATTGTTTGATATACGCATACATTATCTATTATATATCTTTTTACTTAAAGAGTTCAAATGTAATATAACATTTTCATGGCAAACAATTGAACAAATCGTTTTTCTTTTTGCCTGTTCTGTAGTAACGGTTTAATATATTAAAATTTGCCTTTATTTTAACTTTCTCATTTCAATATGAATAACATTCATCTTATGAATTAGGTTTGAAATGTCGTTATCAATTTTTGCACTATACGAATTCAACATCTTTTTTCAATATTTAGATATTTTTATTTTTTATTACATAGAAAAAACAAATAATAATATTATTATGAACTCCTTTTAATTTTTTTCATTTTACAACATCTTTTTGTCTGCGATATTATAATTGTTTAATTATTCTGCATGTAAACATCACAATAATTGTTTTTATATATGTNAATTGTTTAATTATTCTGCATGTAAACATCACAATAATTGTTTTTATATATGTTTTATACTCGGATTGCTTTATCCTTTTATATACGAGAGTTAAAGTAATGAGTACAACTCCAATAGCTTTGTTACATACATTATTACATAAATAAAATCAATAAAATTAATAGAAAATAAACAATACAATCAATACACGTACCTATGTTACTATTTTATATTAATACCGCACCAAGATATATACATGAAATAAGTAACAAGTATTATGATAAATGCATAGTTGAACCAAAGCAGTTTTTTTTTTTGCTTTGCCACGGCTACTTAACTGGCCTACCCTGATTACAGTCATAATATTTTTTGTTATTCAAATCTGAAAGTGAAAAATATTACACTACTAATTGTTAATTATTTAAACGTATCATTCGGGTTTAAATAAATACATACACTACATACATTTCTGTACGTTGTACCGTAACACACAAACACACGATACGACATAGAATAATATATAAATGACAATAATAATATAACGTGTTTAGTAAAATTTTGATATAAAATGCAGGTATAGATTAAATGCACCTAAAGTCTTTATCGAATACCTACAAAAGTACACTTCTAATCATATTTATTCCGCTAGATGCGACACTAAATCTTGACGAGTTGCGCTTGCAGTTATATTTTAACTAAAAACGATTTTGATAACATATTAAGTCGAAGAATATTTCTAAATTTAATTTAATATCATAACGTAATGGTTTATTTATTGAAACATTACTTATGATCAAAATTTATAATGGTTTTTTAAATAAATATTACGGTCTACGATTATTATGATTCGATTATAGTTTTTAAATTTTGTCGTATTGTTTGAAATTAATCTAAACTTGAGGTGTTTGGTTGAAATTTCAGAGTGGCTAATGTCCCATAGCATTCATTGAACATTTACCCGTTTCATAAATAGATTTTGAACAAAATATTTGTGAGTAAGAGGTAAGATATTGAGGGACTTGACCAGTGTTCAAAACCAAAAATGATAGCAGAATATTTAGGTGCATAACTATATACACACCATACCGCAAATAAAGATACTGTTCAGTAAATTTCTGTATATTAAAAGTACGCCTTCCTGTGAATCATTCCTATAATCAAATTCATGTAATTTCAAGAATTTATGGAACTCCCTGACAAAATTACATATTAGCAGAATGAAATACAACATAGCGGATATGAGATTGTGTGGAGACCGCAGTAAAAAAAAATCGGAATTTTAAAGCAGAAAAAACGTAAAATCTGTTCCAGGTGAAGCTATAATGAGGGGTTGGGATTTTAGTATATTGCAAATACCTATGTTAATATTATGTAAATGACTTTTTATATATCTGATGGACAAAAATAAAAATAATATTAATTTTTGGAATATATTTTTTTGCTCCATGATTTAATGCCAACTTTTGAAGCTCGTTGCCCCACTGTGTGTCGAATCGTTGAATCCGTGAATTGACTTGGAGTATATCTTCTAATTGTATGTAAAATTATTTTATTGTTCAATGTCATTACATTTGTATTTTGCGGACGTCCGATTGAATTTAAATATGAATTTATGCATTTGAAAATCATATCATACAAAAAAAAACATATTAATTAGATGAATGGTAATCTTTCTTTTTTTTATGGTTAGAAATCTATCATTGAAATTTATTGTTATTGTTATTATTAGTCATATGGGCTAACCGCTTTAGTAGGAACCCGGTGGCGAACAAAATCCTTATGTACCAACCAATAGCTTTAGCTCCCAAGGTTTTATTTTATTATTTAATAGAGTTCATGTAAAATATAATTAAAATACTTATGCTTATTTTTATTTGTATTAAAAACATTAAATAATATGTTATTGTGCTCATAGTTGTTAAAAAAGTACCCATCATTTTGCTTGGTATCAAATATCTTTTAATTAAAATTTAAAATACAATAGGTGAGATAATGTATAGAAAATATTTTATTTTTAACAATAAGGTAAATTATCTTAATCTTCTTCTACGACCTCTTCTAGCCATTTGTCGCGGATACTCTACTCGTGGGACATTAACTGTCAATTCTAAAAATAGTTATAACAATAAATATAAGTTAATAAATGTTCAAATATACTTACTTTCTTGTTGTACTTTTTCCCGATGTTCTTTTATTGCATTCCCAAGAAGATTACAAATATTAGTAATAAAGTTATCCAGAGATAGACAAAGAGTTTTGGTTTGAACTAAAGTTCGACAAAGAGGATACACATTACTTTTTTTCAACCAAGTATTTAAACAAATTTCACAAAATGTATGGCTGCAATTAATTGCACACGCCTAAAAAAAAAACAAATTTACATATTAAATTTTATATAAAATATTCATTTTCACAATTTATGACTAAATTTTATTTATTTCCCANTTTCACAATTTATGACTAAATTTTATTTATTTCCCCAATGATAATTTAATTTATTTAATCATTTTTTTAATCTAATTTATGGATGCGTAAAATTCAAGTTTTCTGAACTAACATTTTGAGATAAAATATGTTTTATTTAAACTTCTAAAATAATTTTGTTGGTATAATTATGAAGTATGTGATTTATTTTTCAGTCTCTTAGAAGCTAATTTATCNTATTTTTCAGTCTCTTAGAAGCTAATTTATCAAAAATAAAATTTAAAAACTTATTTAAATTTTGGATATAAAAAGTTACTAAATGATAAAATAATAATACATAGACAATGACATAGTAATATTTTTCATTTTACTTAAATTGCATTTTATTTTCATAAACAAACAAATTTACTTTAAAATG